ATCGCTGCGCTTTCCTATGTTTTCATAAAAGATTCTCTCTATCCCCATTTTTTTTTTCCTTTTCTGTTTTTTTTTTACTTTTGTCTTCAAGTGTACAGCTTCCTTCCTGCCTGCATTCGATCATGGGATGCCATATATAAACTTCCACTTCACAGATGCTGTATTTGTGAAGCAGTAAGTTCTCGAATAATTAACTCTCCTGAGAACAAACACAAAAAAAGATTCAATAATATTAAGACAAAGTAAGCAAATTATATATTAATGTCTTCTATTTATCTTAGTGTCCCATAAGCATGCACACAATGCCACAGTGCACTCAGAAAGCAAACTCTCTTTGCCTTCCTATTCTTTGTTCTATACAGTTTTCAATCTCAACTTTGTCATTTTCTCTGCACGTTTTTAGATATTTTGCTGCATCTATTGCGCCCATTTCATTTTTATCACCTTTATTTTCATATTTTCCCCTCTACTTTTATTCTTGTGATTTTCTCATATATTTGTCTGTAAAAGTTTTCACATTTTGTTTACCCAAGGTTTCTTTTTCTTTTCTATTCTGATTTTAATTTCCTTCGTGTTTGGTATGCATTTATAGTCCTATTTTTCCTTGCACGTTTTTGGCTGTAATTTTTCCCCTTTCTTCTACTAAGGTTTCAATCTTTGCAACGCGTATGATCACAATGATTGAAAGGATGATCGTTGAAAACTGGTAATTTCCTCCAAGTTCTGATTCTTAATCTGAAGCGAGCTGATTGCTATTTTCCGAGTTGTTGCTTCCTCCGTCTGTAATTTAAATGCGAACCAGTTCCCCTGAGAAGCGTATTTATTATAAAAAAGTGTTTTCTCCATTTACTTCAATGTTTTCTTTATTTCTACTTGTATGTTTGTTTTTTCGTTTATGGCATTTTTAAACTACTTTCTCGACATTGGTCATTAATGGTGTTAGTCATTTTTATTCGTAATTTCTTCTGCATTTTTAACTGCTCCCTTTTATAACTCGATAAGCTTTTTTTGAGACTAGGTATATGCATACTTAAATAATATATTCATTAGTTTACATAAACTAAGTTTAGTAACTCGTACTTGAGGAAAATAATTTTGCCCGGTTAATAAATGAAGTTCTGAGTAGTAATTAACACAAATAAGCAAAACTTTGCCCGACTCGTTTTGTTGTAAGTCGGTCTATTTTTATAAAAGTGTTACTGTCGTAAATGTAGTAAAACTTGTAGTGTTTTGTCAAGCTCTACAACTTCTTTCACAACAACGCTATGATAGATTTGGATTGCTTTGCAACGAAACTAGTCAGCGATAAATTGTTGCTTATTTGTACGTATTACAAATTTCTTCATTTATTTAGTATACGTGTTCAGAGTTCTAAACTTATACAAACACTTAACTCATAGTTTATTTAACGCGAAATAAATTGTTCAGTTTATTTTCATTAGATGCACAAACCTTTTAGATGCTTATTTTAGAAACTGCTTTGTAACTGATCACGGAACATGCATGTGAGGTTGCAAACGACAGCTGTAATATATTGATTGGTGCTTAATTGCCTGGAAGTGCATCTAATTTCTTGCGAACAGTTTTATATTTCTCGTCAAGGTCATTATGGTAGAAACTGTTTTTCTTTTATCTTTAGTTCGCGAACAGTCAGTAAAGCAAAGATGCTATTTACGTCTTGCACATTTCAGCGCAATACATATTCCTTTTGCATGTTCTCTGTTTTCAACATAATTAATATGGCACTTTTGTATTAATTTGTTTTCATGATTTCATGTTCTGTTAGTACCTTTTCCAATTCACTGCTTTTAAAACTCTGTTCTCACAAAGCTGCCGACCAAGCGCATGAAAACATCTATAAGTTGTACACGAATAGCACAACGTTAAAAGTGCAAGGTAACTGCTTACGTTTATCAATTATTAACAGCAGCAAATTTGCTAGTGCTTATTTTCGGAGGTATTCCATATTCTAATTTTATTCTCGCACTTTCTAGAGAAAATAAGTCTATTTTTAGATTATTTAGCTCTCCTGAATTTCGAGGACATGGCAAAGGTAATAAAAAACCGACATTTACGTCCTTTAACGAGGCGTGAGGCGAGGAAAAGCTTCCATTTCATTAACTTGAATAAATTAGTAGAAAATAAAGTGTAAAACTCGTATTTACTGTTGCTAATGATGCGAGTTTCTTTTAAATAATTGTAAGCTGACTTACGTTACATCTGATAGCAATTCTAAGAAAGATTTTTCATGTACGGTGTTTTTATACGGAGTTTGCATTTTAACAATAAGACGCGAAGCTCTCTTATAAAGTGAAAAAGCTGAATACAAAAGTGTTTTCAGTTAAGGCTCTCTTAGTATTGCATCTTTAAATGAATTAATTCCCATGCATTGCAATGCTAAATTTCACCAGGCTGATAAATTAATGTTCATATACTAGTTTGCGGTTTCTCATTTTTTTCATTATTAAGTTTTTACCTAATATTTCCCAATGATTTTACTATAAGAGCTACCCTTTCGTTTTGCATATGTATAGAAATTATACTGCATACCAACTTGATAAGTTGCATTCATTCCAGTTCATACAGTTTTTATCTTTAGCAATTTTACAGCATTTTGCACCTTCTGTTTTCACAGTGGCTAATTGCACAAAAAATCGCTGGATGTCAGTGTTTTACTTGTTCGACTCCCGGTAGCTGAACTGAGCGGCATCAGGGATGTAGTTCATTATGATTTATGCCAAAGCACTTGAAGGCTATCTTCCAAAGAATAGGGATGCCTTCGTGGAGGAATTTCAAAGGGAAACTGGCTCATATCCACGTTACACTTGAAGAAAGCCATGAAAATTCGCATGCTGTTAGTTCGTGCATCTGAAATCAAATCCAGGTTGAGTTACTAGTGTTCTGCAAATTTGCTGCTCTGCCGCTGGTGGGCCTCTTGGCAGCGAGGGCTTTCTTTTGTGAAGAAATACATGGATCAGCTTTCATTAGAAAATTATGCCGGAAAGGCTGTCTTTTATATGACAGGATAATGCTAAAATGCTTTCCTTTAATAAATTAATTTTTCATCTGTCAGTATCTAATGTTGTTTCTGTATTTAAATTTCAGTATTTTCGAAGCTAAAATCTTCATTGTATCTTACTATTGTGTTTACGTAATTTTTTGTTTTGTTTTTTAATAATAATTTCTTTGCAAAGATATCCTTAACCTATGTTTCCAATACTGAAACATGATGTTTTATAACTAAATCGAAAGTCTGCATAAGCTCATCAAACTGTTAAGTTTAATTACTGATTATATTATCGAAATCTGCAGAGAACAGAGGATATAAGATGTACTTAATGTGGTCATGGTTAATATTCATACGTACAATCATAGCTGAAGCTGTGTAGAAAATACCCTTTCAAACAAGTATTATTGTTCTATGAACAGAATCGTACTTCAATACATTCCCATAAATGAAACAAGAAAAACAATCATGCAAAGAATCATGAAAATCATGAAACAAGAAAAACAAACATAATGAAACAATGAGAATTTTATTCTTCCCTTTCACTGTAAAGGCACCGAACCCAATATACAGCTACTTTATATATTTGTTAGATAATTCCACCTTCATTATTACCCAACTGTTGTGTTGCCACTAAGGCATCAACAAACTGTTAAATCTATTTTTGATCATCTACCCTCATTTATTCCATTTCCATCAGTAGGTCTCTTGCCATAATATTCAATCAGTTTCATACTGTACTTTAATACTGCGGAGTTTAGTTATACTTATTTCGATTTGAGTAACATTGTTAAGAGTCAATTCGTATCCTAGATCTATTGTTTCTAAAATTAATGCTTAAAATAATTAAACGATGTGAGAGTAGAGCAGCCTTTGAAATTAAATTTTAATGATTATTGGGGAATGTTTCAGACTATTGGAATTGGATTGTTGAAAGTTGTTTATAATTGTTTGGGGCGAGCAGATACGAGGCTAAATTTGTGAGCGTGCATCTGTAAATAAACAATGATTAGCTGTTATTCAGTGCAGCAACGGAAGATTTAAAGATATTTCTTGCCTTAAAAGACGTTTTCCCTACCCTATTTTAATATGTAAAATACTGAATGTCATATCGAAGAATTATGGGTATTATTAAATCCTATCTTCAGAAATCTCTTGTCCTGCAAATTTCGACAAATTTCTTAAGATGATATAGCTGTCAACTATATTCATATTAAACTTTTTCCAAGTCATATTAAACTTTTACTGAGTTTATTAAAACCATTTCAAGTTTATGAAGCGGATATATACTTATTTGCTGCTTGCCGTGATTTATATCATTTATTGATTTATAGAAATTAATATCCTTGATGTTTCTACTTTGTAGTAACATACGTTCTTTGATCAGTAATGTGAAGTATGTACGATATTAATGACAGCGAATCAGCAAAAACGAATGATTTAAAAATTTATATTTTCAAGTAATGCATATTTTAATATGCGATTCAAATGGATATTGAACATGACATTTTAAGTTTCGCGTATTATAATGTTCCAATGGTATAAAAGCAATCTAAATTATAGTGAACAAACATAACTGTATACCTCAAAAAGCAACCGGTGGCTATTATATTCTGAAATAAATATGTTAACTATGAGTTATTTAGTAAAACATTTGCATCTTGTACAAGTCTGCGAGTGGTGTGAAAAAGTTAATATACCTCTCGCTTGAAATACTATGTTTTTTAATTGGAAAAAATGGGCGTCGTTCTTTCCCATCCACAGTATTATTTGCGTTATATGAAGTCGAAACAAAAACAACTTTATTAAACATTTTCTCTTAATTTAGAAATGAGTTACCAAGGCAAATTGTCTTGCTCCAATTTACAAGTATTGATTTCATAAAATGCGTATAAAGTCAAAGCATATAGATTAAAAGTAAATTTTCAATTCACTTGTAGAACTGTAGATTGTTAAAAATGATGTAACTTTATTAATTATTAAATTCTTTCAGGTTGTTAGCATAACTTATTTCTCCTGAGGCATCGGTCTAGCACATGGGAAGAATCCAACGTTTAAGTAGGTCTACTTCCTCATCAGCCATGGACATTGACCCTCCTTCATCTTCGTGGAACTTGTGCCCATCGTTCCTCGATTCTCAACGAAATCGAATGCACTTGCAAGATGACACGAGTGGGTCTGTAATTGGTTCTCCCCCTCCAGCTGGTCCACCTAAAATCTTGTGGGACGAAACCTTTTCTGTGGATGTGCCAAATTTAAAAGAGCAAGGTAATGGAAATAACCTCCCTGGAGAAAAAGGACAAGTAATGGAAGCAGAGTTATCTTTGCGTGTGCAAGAAATCAGACTTCAACCTCCTCAGCCCATGATCATATGCGAAACTGTGGAAGATGAAAAGGTTGAGACACCCATTACAGCACCCACAGACACGGTGTCTTTGGCCGTGCCTCCAGTCGATGTGTCAAATGAGAAAAAACGGCCACCTCTGACCGCACCATATTAACGTTCACCAACTTGGTGTTATGAAGTGTTTTTAAGAGCAGTTTCGCTTTCGAAAAGCACTGCCGATCTTTGGAGACGAAGCCATTTCACGATGACTTAGATGTCTAAGTTTAATGTAATGTTGACTGTTTAAAGATCATCCGACGAAACAGGAAGTGTAAACCACACTTCGAAACATCGTATTGTGTTTGAGTGGTTTGATGTTCCGGTGTTTTTGGAAATAATTGTGTTTATCAGGATTTCGTTGAGTGCGTTGCGAAATTCATTCATTCAGCCTAAACGACGAAGGGCTTCTTTTTTTAACATCTGACTGTTTAACGGTCACAAATGTCTGCAAACATGCTTGTCGCATATATTTATGGGAACTTGTCATGTTTCACATTCAATTTTCTTTTAGATATGAAGTATTCTGTAGTTTACATCATATTTATATATGACGAATATCTGAAACTGTATACGTGTGGTTCAGCTTTTACACAGAAATATTAATAAATTGCTTTTAGTTAGTTCTATTTAATACAACTCATTCTTAGTTTAATTTATTGAAGGTGCAATCTGTATTTTGAAATTTATCTGAATTTATAACAAAGCAAAAAATGTCGGCATTACATATTAAACAAAACTAAGTATTGTGAAAAAGCTTCTTAAGATTTTTTGTCATAAAGTACTTGGTAATTAGAATTTGTAATTTTTTCCTTAAAATTCTGGTCAGTATTTGTGTAACAAAAATATGTAAAATGTTCGTGTGGTAACTTGAAGAAAATGTTTAAATATGGATATTTTAATGTACACTGTTACTTTTATGTGCACAAAAGTGCTAGCTAAGCATGATGAGTGTAGTTTGATTGTTGTAAGATCTTCGAAGAAGGTGTTTGGCCTTCAAATGCTGTTACATGAAAATGCTATTCAAAACATTGGTAAAAAAATGTGTTTTAATGTGTATGAAATTCTTAACTTATTTGATGTATCTATTAATGTAATATTAAATCATGATTAAATCTTTCAATTTTGATGAATGAATGCTTGTTTTCAAAATACAGTGCGACACATATTCATTAAAGTCAAATTTATGCTAGACTAAATTCTTACTATATTATGAACATTAAAAATGAACCAACATATTTCAATTTTGATAAAAACTATATTCGACTCTTAATTGTACAAAGCACTCTTTAATCATTTGTCATTTTCCAAATTTAGAAAAGTACAACTAGATGAAACTACAAATACGATACAAATCAGATCAGAAATGAAACTTAACTCTAAGAAAATTGTGTTAAATATAAAAAAATAAACTTCAACATGCTTTAAAAAGGAAAAGCATTTTAAATGATAGTTCAAAGCATAACTTTAAAATATCAAGAACTTATTCTGTTGCTTATAATTCTTTGATGTGAATGCACGTACTGAAGGCTTTAACAAAATTGTGCAACTAAATATCTATTGAAACTGCACAAAGATCTAAATAGAGCTTTTTTAATCGTTGGATCTTTGCACCACTTCGAATTCTGATTAAATAAAATCTTACTTGTCTCGCCTTCACTTGTGAAATTTTCTTTATTTTCCCTCATTTTGATAAATTAATGATTTGAAAAGGTTTCTATATTTCAAATTGTGAAGGCCTTTCTTTAATTGGAATTAACTCTAATTTCTGGCAGTATATAATGAAAACTTTAATATCGTTTTAAAAATACGTATAAAAATATTGATACAGCATATTTCAGACTGACTGCATCTTGAAAATCGGGTTTCAATTGTTGGTTCCGACTATGGTTACAATTGGGAAAGGGAATCAAATAAGGTAGGGTGCCAAATTTTAACAATTTTAGTAAGTATATACAAAGCTTGAGTTTTATGTGGGCCCTGATTATTAAGAAGAATGCGAAAGAAACGTGTTGCTTAAAATTTTCCTCATATGGTCGAAGTTAATCGATATAGTAAAAACATTTTGGACATAATGCAAATTTTGTGAACAATAGCCATATTTTCTAGTAGCAATTGCCACTTTCTAGAGGATATCTTGTAGTTTAAGAAAACCATTACTTTAGAAACACTGATTTCAAATTACAATATGTGGAAATGATGAGAAAAATATTATTTTATATTCGATGAAATTCGATATTTGCGCAATTCTTGGATCAGCGCTTCTTTGCTATCATATTCAATGGATGAAAGTGAGTTCAGACTTATATTTGGAATTTTTAGGATTTATTTTACATACTAAGGGTCGGTTTTTCTCTAAAAGGTATCTAGTAGAATACGAAACTACTTGCTAGCTATTATTCGTAGAAGAGTATGTAATAAAAATTTAAATTTCATGTATGTATCAAATACTAAGTGTTTAAAAGAGACCGTTATAGTCTGAAGCGTACGTAATTTCATTTCTTATGCCACAAATCAATAACAAACGGTTAAAGAGAGGTACAATCATATCCTGAGTAAAGAATACTCTCAATAGAAAAGCATAACCAATTTAGTAAATGTATGATAATTAGTTTCAAACTGAAATTTATACCGAAAGTTGCATATTAACGATAAATTTAGCTACCTAGTAAGACACCTAGGGGAAGTAAATGTAATAAATGAGTTTAGCAACTGATTTATAATTTCATAGTGAACATTTTATGACAAAAGTTTCAAAATGTTAAGATTTGGCCTCTGATGTTTCAGTCCACTAAAGTCTCTCGATTCACATTTGAGGTAGATGAAAATTTAGGTACTAAGAGTTTAGTAACTAATTTATAATTTCACAGAAAGCATGTGTGCATTCATATTTCGTGGATGGAAGGAATTGGACATTCTAACATCAGAAACAAAACTGTGTTTCTTTTCGAGATTTAAAAAAATCACTATTTTATTCCTGAAATCTTAAAGGAAAGTTTGTCTGAGAGTATAATAAAAAAATAAAATGCTTCTTCATGAAATTTGAACGGAAACCCATAAAATGGGGGCTGATTTATTCAGAGATTCTATTATCAGATTCAGGGACTTTATTTATCATTTTGTGCAATAGTGCAGAGCTCGCTAATGACCGCATGGCTAAGACTGTTGAGTCTGAATTCTGCTAGCTCGTTCTTGGTTCAGTTCGAAATGAAAAGCCTGGCTGTTTAGTTTCATAATTTTTCCCAATACTTAACACAAATACCGAAGCTGTTTATTTAGGAAAATTCTCTATGAAAGCAGCCCTTCGAAGTCTTCTCTCATATTTTTGACTAATCAAGTGTGTATGTTAAAATTTTAGAAATGTATTGATCAATTTAAACTAATACCGTGGAATTTTTGCGATCCATTATTTCTAGAAGTGAATCAGTAAATTATCTATATTTGGTTTGTGCTGAGGGCTTAAATGTAAGTTATAATCTCGCTTCATATTAAAACGCATTCCCTTGAACTGATAGCACAAATTCATCTTTTCGATGTTTAGTAATTTATTTATTACGTAAATATTTCTATTAGAGTTTTTTCTGACGAGGTAGATTAAATGCGCTGCTTTATTTTATTAAGGAATGTTTTATTTCACAATATTTTAAAAAATGAATAGATAGCATTGAGAAATCAATGGAATAACTAACAAGCATATTTTCAGCAAAATACTCGACATAATCACTGTAATTAAACCTTAAAAGCTTAACTCCCTACTTAAGCACTCAACACCTGAAAGGTACATATCGAACATAAAAGTAGCGCATTGAATACAGTTATAGTATTTTCTGAAGTGTTTCAGAAACATGGTTAGGAACGTGTGACAAAGGTGTGTACAGTGTTTTCCTTTCAATTTGCTGTATACGTTTTAATTAGAAGTAAAAAAATGAACTAGTTATTCGAAACACGATGAAAATACCAAAGAAATTTACGCATTTTCTACTTGGAGAAACGTCATGTCGTAACTTACTCTCTGTTTAATTGTCAGTCGATAAAATAAGTATGTAAATGTTTTGCAGTACTGGTATGCAGATCGAGCACATAGTTATCACATTTTTAACATGGTGAATAAGCAAAAAAAACTCTGTAATGGATTGAGTACATTGCTCCACAGACAAAAAATTCCACCATAAAAATTTGATTCAACACTGAACAAATTTCAAATTCTTGAAATGCAAGTTTTGCAGTTTCCATACAATATCATCATTTGGAAAAATAATAAAAGGCGAAAAATTAGTCTATTAAACTTGGGTTTTATATTTTCTCATTTCCCTTTGAATAACATTAAGGCGAGTCAGTTTCCTTAGAAAGTTGTCCACGAAGGCATTTCTTCCTTAAGGAGATATCTCCCATGTACTTTGCCTTATCTCTGAACCAAGCATTTTAGAGTCTTTCTCAAATATATGGAAATTGGTTTTCTTTATTTTTTGTGTGTGAATGTGCGTCTGGGTAAAATTTAACTTTAAAACTTCGTTCATAACATTTTTATTGACTAAAGGAAACTGGCTCGTATACACGTTACACATGGGTAAAACCACGCAAATGTCCATGCAGCCAGCCTGTTCACCGAGGTTAGAACCACGGACCGAACTAACGGTGTGCAGCGACTCTACTGCTCGGCCACTGGTAATTTTGTCAGATTGCGATTGGAACACCAAAACGAATATCACAACGCATAATGTCGTTGCAACTGACATCAAGAAGTAGCAGTCCCACAATTTACAATTGGCAGGATTCTGTGGGATTATACTGAGAGATTTCGACAATCCAATATCCCAGCAAATAATGTTGTTGTGATCTGAGTGAGCATGTGATAGCTGAGGCAGATCCGCAATCAAGTCCTCCGTTGTTAAGCTGCCACTTACACCAAACGTTGCTTGCAGTGAAATTGCACCAGAGCTACGCAAGTTGACAGATGGCACTCGGATGTTTATTATTCATCGACTCTCCTTCATAAACATGAGAAACTGAAGGCGAAGTAATCAGTGAGGTTGAATTGTACTAAAATTAATGAGCAGCATACAGTTAATCAACGTCGAGTCGTGATTTTGGAGTCGTGATTGAATGTGCATGCTTAAAAAACATTTTAAATTGTGCATTCTCTGTGTGTATTATACTCAAATCGCTTATAGTGGTAATGAATACCTCATTAAGGGGGCATAGTACCTTTGCGTTAACCGAAATAACGTTAAACACGACTAAACGCTACCTTCTGATGCACAAATAATATAATAATTTCTATTTTTTGCTTATAGATGTGAAACACACACCTTTTTCAACATTGTGTTCAAAAATAAAAACTTTCACTTCAATAATAATTTTAAAATTGTTGATTTAAAATACTCATGATTAACAGATAAATAAAAATCAATAAGTACGGCGCGCATCATAAAATTTAAAAAAAGGTATGCAGAAAACAATTTTTGGTCAAAATCCTTTTAGAATATATCTAACTTTAATTTAAAACCAGAATATATTAAAAAAAACTACTTAAATTTATAAAATGGTAAAAACAATTTTAAAAAATTAAAAATTATCAAAAATATTTCGATACTTTTTAATCAAAAATTTAAAATTTTTCATCAAAATATGATATTTTTTTGGTTTTAACATGTAGATAATATAAAGATACACATATGATTCAATTTTCATGTATTTATCATATATAGTTTGAAAGCAATTATGCGCGCAATCTTAAAATTTAACATTTTGAGAAAACTCAATTCAAAGTTTTAATATTAATTTTTCCTTATTTATATTTTAGTAACATTAATCAAAATGCTCCAGGTGCATAAACAACTCCTTCTTTTAGCTTATTCATTTCATCTTGTTTCTTTTTCTCCCTTCGCTTAGCTATACGAGCCTCTAAACTGTTAATCAGCGCTCGTTGCTTAGCAAATTTTAAGCGAAGTTCATCTGCCTTTTTAGCAAATGTTTTGCTTTTAGCACCAGATGTCAATTGTAATTCAATCATCAAAGATAAAATTGCTCATTTTCCATCATTGAAGCTTGCTACAGCTAAATTTACTGCAATTTCCGCAATGTTTTTTTGCAGAATTTGTTGTTTGGGGGCAAAATGTCCAAATCAATGAAT